GTAAAATACCTGTACCTCTGGACAGAAGGCCTAACAGCCTTTATCCTTTTAGGGTTTTTCATAGCTCACTGGGGTCTACCTTATGCACAGAGTCCGAACTCAAAAGATTTTTTACACTTGCATATGTTCCCTCGTAAGAGAGGCTGAACTTTGGAACTTTTACATGAAATATATGACTAACTTGTCTCTTTTTTCGGAACATTAGCAAGACTTTAAATATTGTCCAAAATATCTTGAAAATGTCTAAAGATATCTCAGTTTTGTTTTCATATCTAGACCTTCATATAAAAAGGCGTATGAACAAGACAACTCAATAATCTGAATGAGATATGTTAGGGTCTTACTGGAAATATTTTTAAGAGACGCAGTACGCTTTTAGACCTTTTAGCATTTCATCAGGCAAGTCTTAATAAATTAGTCTATTTCAAAGCATTACTCAAAAATTAATATACATAAAACATACGACACGAATGGTTTCTATGACTTTTCAAATCAAGATAAGTATATCGGTGAAGTATTTAGTATAATACAACAGCTTTAAAATTTATTTGTTATGCTGTGGAAAAGTTTAATAGATACTCAAATTTTTTAATTCTCATTCTATCTATGATATTGCTTGCAAACACGAAGTTATTATTATGCCCTTAAAAAACCGTAAAACTTTACTTCTCTCGGATGCTAAGACATGTTTACAAAACTCGTCATAAACATTTTGTTTCCCAGGTTCGATAACGAATTTGATTGCTAATGCTTTTCCTCTTCTTTCGAGTTCTTTTTTGATTGCATTGACCATTGTCTCAACTACAATAGTCACGGAACAGTTATGTTGTCCACAACCAATAGCTGGAAAGGCAACAGATGAATATTTATATGATATAACATGTTGAATAACATTTGATATAAAATCTTTGATTGATTGACGGAGTTCACCTTCGTTTGATTCTGGTTGCCACTTAAGAAAAAATATTCTTTTGCAAGGTAATTGTCCAGAAATGGTTGAAATCAAAATTGCGTCTGGGTTGTGAAGATACTCTGTTTGATATGCACTTTCAACATCACGTCCAGCAGCTTTGATTATAGCTTTTTTTAAATGTTTCGATGATGAACTTCCAATGATTGCATCAACCTATGACAAATAAATACATATACTTAATTTTGCAATAATGTATAATTATAATTTATTACTTTTTGAGTTATAATAGTTCCTTTTTCAACGCTTATTGTTCCATTTCCAACCTTAATAGAAACCACTGGCGTATCCGAAGGTTCTTTACTTTCCTTTAGCAAATCAATCTGTCTTTTAAACTCTTGATAAATGTCGATTTTGTCTGGTTCTATTGTAAAACTAATGGAAATTCCGTGTATATCGACCAATCGATAAGCTTCTTCAATTAATATTTTTGCAATAAGATTTGGTGGGTAACCATATTGACTGCAACCTATTGCAGGAAATGAAATGCTGCGAAAATTTTCAGTTGATGCCATTTCAATTGCATCTAATACCAGTTTTTGCAACGATTTACAAAATGAATCCTGATCGGCAGTCGGTTGCCATGAAAGAAAATAAACTTTTTTAGATCTCAGGTGGCCGCTTGCTTGAAGAGGAATAACTAAAGATGGATTTTGATTTGATGCCATTTGGTATGCACTTTGTAAAGCATGTCCACCGACTTGTAAAATATTATTGAGCAAGGTAATTGTCCAGAAATGGTTGAAATCAAAATTGCGTCTGGGTTGTGAAGATACTCTGTTTGATATGCACTTTCAACATCACGTCCAGC